TTGTATTGGGAAGAGCAAATGACAGTCAGGATATAGTCAGGTAAAAGAGAAGATAGTGTCATTTGTTGAAAAGCACCTAAAATAGGACTCCACATATGAAGACTTGAATTCTACTGTAAGGCTACAGCTTCATTTTTTTCATGAGACAGAGACACAAATTTAAAACTTACCAATTAAGCCACTTAAGTGACCCTATTAATATTGGTTTAAATGTGAAGTATTTAAGGGAGTTAAAAAACAACCACCAAAACCGAGCCACACAAAAAAACCCCACAAAAAAAACCCACAAAAAAACACCAAAGCACCAAATGAGAAAAACAATTAAAACACTCTGGGTTAGAGTCAGAAATCCATCTTATATATTCAACAGTAACAACTTGTCATTACACATTTGCCAACTGCAGCTGCTTAATTTTGCATAAGCTTTTTTGGTCTATTGTTTAAAATGTAGACAACAGATCTATCGGAGAAAAGAAAATCAAAGCCATCTCATCTTCAGTATTTTGGTATAATTTAGAACTATTCTTTACCTTTCTGTTATAGGTGGAAGAAAAAGTCTATACCATTCATATAGGAAGTTAATTATAGCATAATATAAATTAATTTATAATATGTTTGTGGTTTAAATGAGTTATAACATTACTGAATATACAGTAATGTAGCATTTCTGTCCAGGATCTCCAGACAGCTTGTCTGGAACTGATGATTTTCACTGTTGTGTCCACCCAGTAAAGAGCTAAACTCAGCTTCAGCTGTACGAATGATACTCCTACCCTGTTCTGTATTAACTAAGCAATCATATTTAGAGTAACTAGAAATTACATGCAGACATTTGGTTACTATATAAAAACAAATTTTTTACATGAGCATGACGATAAGTTGCTGGCTAGGTAAGGAGACTATAACTCATACACTTTAAATCTGATAGGCACTAACCTTACAACTGTGGGATCAAGGTTATAAATACTGCCAGTAGCTACACATATTTTAGAAATTATATATCAATTGAATTATTTTGCCTGTTCAGTTGACAGTTCCATTCTAGCTGTGGGTGATGCTTTCATTCACAACTACAACAACTACACCACAAATGAAAAAGCCAGCATTAGCTTCTTTGGTGATAGAAAGCTCATTAATATGTCAGAGAAACTGTGACAATAAAATTGTAGAAAATGTTCACTGCAATGATTCATTTCTTACACAGCTGAATAAAGAGTTGCCCTCTAGCATAACATTGTATTATACCCAAAGGAAGTTAGTCCAAGGACTGCCCCTGAATATTCTATCTTGGCATGAAACTGCACTGCATTCCCTGGAGAAAACAGAGACAATCATATTATCACTCACATATGATTGTGATCTAGCACAATTTGAAAACTCAAAGATCACAGAATCACTTAGGTTGGAAAGGACCTTCAAGATCATCAAGTCCGACCATTAATCCAGCGCCACCATGTTTCCTAAACCATGGCTTGAAGCGCTACATCCACACTTTTTTTGAACATTTCCAGAGATGGTGACTCCACCACCTCCCTGGGCAGCCTGTTCCAATGCCTGACCACCCTCTCACTGGAGAAATTTTTCCTAATACCCAATCTAAACCTCCCCTGGTGCAACTTGAGGCCATTTCCTCTTGTCCTATCGCTAGTTACTTGGGAGAAGAGACTGACACCCTTGTCGCCACAACCCCCTTTCAGGTAGTTATAGAGAGCGATAAGGTCTCCCCTCAGCCTCCTTTTCTCCAGACTAAACAACCCCAGTTCCCTCAGCTGCTCCTCATAAGACTTGTGCTCCAGACCCCTCACCAGCTTCGTTGCCCTTCTCTGGACACGCTCCAGCACCTCAGCATCCTTCTTGTAGTGAGGGGCCCAAGACTGAACACAGAATTCGAGGTGCAGCCTCACCAGTGCCGAGTACAGGGGCACAATCACTTCCCAAAAAACTTCCATCAGTTTTTTTGATGCTTTTTCTTTTCTCTCACATCTCAGGAGGTGGCATGTCCTTGCAGTGATGCTAGAGAAGCACCTTCTTTCTGCTGAGTGCTCTGTTCCTTGTTTATTTTGGATATTTATCCCCTGTGACAACAGCTGCTCTTATTTAATGCTGTCTAGGAGAAATTGGGGGAAAGGTTCACAAGGCCACGTCTCTGAGACATACTTTTCATCAGACATCTTGCAAAGGCATCAGAGTCCCTGGCTGTGGCCTGCATTTACCTCTGTTTAGAGGGGATGTTGTTAGGCAGCAGTTCTGCCAAGCTGTTGCGTGCTTCTAGGTAGAGCAGAGAGCCTGGCTCTCCATATTGCTACCTGTTTGCTGCTGCTCTTGCAGCATCAGTGCCAGTGTTGAAATCAAGGACACACTTTCCAGGGCTAATGGAGACAGGACACTTGTCGTGTTTCTATATGAAATATACTCTAAAATTAAATTACATCAGTTGTATTACTGTTCTTTATTCATCTCATGAAGCTTAGTCCCTCAAAGTCTAATCACAGACTGCATGTTATAAATACCTATGTGACAAGAACTCAGGATCTCCTTGGGAAAAGCATGGGTAACCAGGGAGGTTAAACTGTAATTGCCTGTTCAATCCTGTTTTACTTGCAGGAGGATTCAGCTTTCATGCCATAATTTCTTCCATTGATTTGCTGGATACCGTCAAACAGATTACCTCCCTTCCCCTATTGCCTGTTTTTCCTGTACGGTCTCTAGGCTCTTTGAGAGCTAAGCAGGAGGAATACTGCATAAAGGCCACCAAAATAACAAACCAGAGAAATTTTTGGCCATGAAAGTTTGAAATCTTTTTAGCTACAACTTCTACTTTTAAAAACTAATTTTATATTGTAATCTGTTCAAATTTCAATCAACTCTTTCTTGCATTTCTATCAATCTGCAGTTTTTATCAGTCGAGGTAACCCCTGGTATCAAGACAGACTGGGGGACCAAGGGATTGAGAGCAGCCCTGCCAAGAAGGACTTGGGGGTACTGGTGGATGGAAAGCTGGACAGGAGATGGCAATGTGCACTCACAGCCCAGAAGGCGAACCATATCCTGCGCTGCATCCAAAGAATCGTGGCCAGCAGGTTGAGGGAGGTGATTGTGCCCTTCTACTGCGCTCTGGTGAGACCCCACTTGGAGTCCTGCATCCAGCTCTGGAGCCTCAGCACAGGAAAAACATGGACCTGTTGGAGCAGGTCCAGAAGAGGGCCACAAAAATGATCAGAGGGATGGAACAACTCTCCTGTGATGACAGGCTGGAAGAGTTGGGGTTGTTCAGCCTGGAGAAGAGAAGGCTCCAGGGGACCTTATTGCAGCCTGCCAGTACTTCAAGGGGGCCTATAAGAAAAATGGGGACAGACTTTTTAAGAAGGGCCTGTTGCAATAGGACAAAGGATAATGGTTTTAAACTAAAAGAGGGTATATTCAGACTAGATCTAAGGAAGAAATTTTTTACAAATGAGGGTGGTGAAACACTGGCACAGGTTGCCCAAAGAGGTGATAGATGGCCCCTCCCTGTAAACATTCCAGGTCAGGTTGGCTGGGGCTCTGAGCAACCTGCTCTAGTTGAAGATGTCCCTGCTCATTGCAAGGGGGTTGGACTAGATGACCTAAAAAGGTCCCTTTCAACCCAAACTATTCTATGATTTTATTTAACTCCTGATACTAGACAGGCACCACATACAACCAGGGAGCTACTAGCTTACTCTTCTGCTTAGTCTTCTTCACATATCTGGAGCTTTCAGCCTTGACACCAAACACAGATCTAGCAGAATAGTTTAGACTCTCTCAGTTTGTTTGCAGCTGCCTTATCAAAGTTATAGGGCACATTTTTGCTTCTGTACAACATTTAGCCATGAAACCATCTCACTGATGTTGCTGTTTTGTGTGATTCAGAAAATCAGAAATTCTGCAGCATTTTCAATTTCACAATTCTGTTTCCAACAGAAGCATGTGTAAATGCCATTTGCCACACCACACCCTTATAGAAAAGGTGATCAACACCCTCCTGGGTCACATCAGGCAAAGCTTTGCCAACACATTGAGGGAGGTGATTCTTCCCCTCTGCTCAGCACTGGTGAGACACAAGTGGGTTCTGGGTCCAGTGCTGGGCTCACCAGTGCAAGAGAGACAGTCACATACTGCATTGAGTCCCGTGACAGGTCACAAAGGTGATTAAGGGAATAGAGCATCTGGTATACAAAGGGTGGCTGAAACCTGGCTTTGTCCAGCCTGCAAGAAAAACAGGCTCAAGGGGAATCTTGTCAATGTGTATTAAAACTTAATGGGGGCAGGAAAGACAAGAGAGACTGACTTTTTTTCAGTGATGCCCAGGGATAGTACAAGAGGAAATAGGCACAAATTGAAACAGGCAATTCTTTTTAAAAATAAGAAAAAAGATTTTCACTATAAAGGTGATCAACTTGGAACAGGTTGTCCAGAGAGGCTGTGGAGTCTCCATCCCTGGAAATACTCAAAACTGCCTGGACACAGCCCTGATCAACCTGCTCTAGCTGACCTTACTTTGAGAAGGGGAGTTGGACTAGAAGTTTCCCAGGGGCACCTGCCAGCCTTTGTGACTCTGATTCATTTGTGGTCACATAATTTCCAAATGTAACAACAGAATTTCTCTCAGGAAAAAAAAAAATCAGTTTTTTAGAATATGTCTACACTAGCAGTTTCGTACATAGTATACACACTTTTAGGGAGGAAAAGTCTATTTGACAAACAGTAGAGAGCACTTATATATTGGTGGGGAGGTACTGAACTCCTTCAAGATGAAACCAAGCCGCACTTGATCACCAGGGTTTCACATAGTGCATTGCTAATAGGGACACAAGGTCAGTGTAATCCAACAGCTAGAAATAAGGAAACACAGCAACCCCCCAGCAACCAGCTTTTACAAGGCATGAGCAGTTTCTGGACCTCTAATTAGAAGTTTCTAGACTTTGAGGTACTATAAAAATATTTTAATATACAAGTTCATAAAAAATAGTCTACTCTACCTGATAGCCAAATGTGTTGTTTTGTGACCCATGCCTTGGGACTCCTGGATTTTCACATGCTGTGCGAGTGGGTTCTTAAAAAAAAATTACAGACAAACTCAATTACAGTATTTTAATGAAATACATGAATGCATCACAAAATTAAGCTTGTTCAACAACATGCAATAAGCCAATGAGAGAAAAATAAAGTGACTTGATTCTTAGAGAATATAGAATAACGTCAGGGTAATTCAAAATAGCTGAAAATTCCTAGATTGACTTAGCAGGAAAAGAAATAATAAGCATTTCAAGAAATTTCGATAATATGAGTGTAACCTTACCTATACATCGAGGAGAAGAACCACTCCACGTGCCATCTGCTTGGCAAATCCTGGTGTTGGAGCCAACCAAAATAAAAGGTGGACTGCAGCTGAAAGAGACTTCTGACTGATAGATGAAGCTTTTACCTTCTCTTTTCCCTTGAGCAGGTACTCCAGGGTCACCACAAAACTTTGCTGTGAGAAAAGACATGATAGGAATGGAACTTGTTATTTCTTAAAATACAAAAAAATAACACTTACTTGAACTCAATCAAGCAGTTACTCCAAATTTTATATTTATTTCATTAAACACAGGTCAAATAGAGAAACATTTAATAGGAATTCAAAGAGAGACTAGATAGCCAATCTTTAGTCTGCTTCAGTTTGCAGTAGTTTTGGTAGCTGTTCAAAATGTCTACATAGTAGGCTTGGTCAGTAGCTTGAAGTTGACACTAAATGTTATACAACTTCATTAAGGCACAAATATCCACAATTCACCTCTGACTCAAACCACATCAATCTGAAAATCTTTCTATAGAGAGCAATCAGAGAGTGTACCAAACCTTCATGTCAGTCTCCCATCCCCCTCCTGCTTTCTGCCATCTACCCAGTGCTCAACATTTTTGTATGATTAAAGGATTTGTCAGACTGATTTTAGGAGTCGTAAATTCTTACTTCCTCATCCTTCACTGAAAGATAAGATTTGGTATGTATGGAAGTACAACGTTTGAAAGTTAGTACAGCTAACAAAAAAAAAAAAGTTTCAGCAGCAATCTAGAAGTCAAATATTAATAAGCTGTTATTAGGCAGGATAAAGTTGACTGATAAGAACATATTCTTGAACTGATCTTTTTACTTTATACCTCTCACCTAAAGATTCCTTATGTCTATAGCATAGCATAACTAAGCAAATGCACTGCTGGAAAATTTACTGGCCTTCTGAAGTATAAACTACTGATTATTGTCAGAAGGTGGATTTTGAATAATTGATTCAGGAAACACAATTAGCTATAGTAAACTGCGTGCCATCACACTATATTATTCCCCAACAAACCATGAATTCCAATAATGTACACTCTAATTTCATGTTAAACAGAAAATGTTGTAATACACACAAAAACCCTCACTAACCCAGATGTGTGCAATGACACATTTCTAAAAAAGCATGTTGTACAGACCGCAGAATTTTCTCTTCCATCTTTCTCTTCTACAAACAAAATATAAATTACATTTCTTAAACAATTGCCTTCAAAATACATTTTTAATACCTCTACGTTTGTCTCCTATGTTTTAAGCTTTCCAAAGGACCTGCTCACATAAAATGTTCCTGTCCTCTACCTCTACAGACTGTATGGGAAATCCATGCACACACGTATTGTTGAAGAAAAAGAGCTTAATCTATAATGTACTAGAAATGTATACATTTTCATGGTTTTAAGTAGAATGGGACTGTTTGCAGAATTATAGGTCAAACTCTGGAAAGATATATGAACTGGGGATAGTGCCACACAGCAAAACTTGTTGTGTGATCATGGTTGTAATTTATGTTTTCATTAGAAAATTCTGTGGAAATCTTCATTTGAAAACACATGACGCACTTACAGATTTTTAACACAGAGGTTTGAAATTTCTCCTGAACAGATCTTTGTACCAACAAAATAGCAACCACTCTCCAGGAAAAAGAATACTTCACATTAAAAAAATGTTTTTTTCGTAAGTTTATTAATTTTTTTCTAAACCCAAGTAAACTCCACCACTTAGTTTTTAGTCAACTTTACCCAATCATTGAATAGCTACTGAATATCTGCCTTCTATACAAGTAACCATGGAAACCAGGCACCGTGATAAAACACAGCAGTTTTCCTCTGGTACTGGAACAGGGGACCACAGAACAAACTAAAGTTGCAGCAAATTGGAAGCTCTGAGTGCTCGCACTCCCTATGGAAATATCTCCTAAGGCTTCTGACAGCCTTTAGCAGAGACAGGGCCATGGAGCTCTGGCACTGAGGCTGTGAGGCTAGTCTCATTCTTCAAAGACATTTAACTGATTAACAGCAAGTTATATCTGTAGTTAGGAATTTTCAGGTCTTTTTTTTGTCATCTATTGCCATGCTTATAAAGACAGCAGTCCTTTACTCAAATTACTATATGACTAATTGAGCAGACAAATTTAGTAGGTCATAGATGACAAATACTCAAAGACATAACCATATTCCATTCTGAATAGTCATTCCATGTTATAACTATAACTCGCATATCTTCAGGTACAGGCTCTATGGAACCAAACTTGGAACTAAATTTCTGATGTCAAGAACTGCTTAAAGATTGCTCATGAAAAATGACTTTCACCAGATCCCTCTCATTTCTGCCAGATGGCAGCTAATTTAAGCTCTTTGACAAGCACTGGCTGCCAATTGATTTCTCTTGCAAGCCAATGAGTAACCATTGCACATCAACAACATTCAGTTTAATGTAATCTCTGCATGAAACAGCCTTTAATGTTAGCATTCTGTGCTAACTATACCTTTTAAAAAGTTTAAACGTGGAGCCCCTTTTTCAGAGCATATTGCAGTATTGAGTATTCCAAACTCAAAGATGATAAATAGCAAAAACGAATGTAAGAACACGATATTACAATCAACAACAAATGATTAAAATTAAGTTTCGTGGTCTTTGATGTTCATAATACAGTGGACTCCAGAAGAGCTCCATCTAGAGAACTTAAACAACAAATTGTGTTTTTTTTTTTCTTCCGGTAACAATGCCTTTCACAGTGTTACAGCTCTGGCACATACAGTTTCATCAGCACTAAACAGCTGTTGTTGATGATATGAGAATACAATTAGGAGAAAAAAAAGAAAGGAGAAGATCATCTATATGATATGCTTTCATAGTAGTAAGATATAGCCAAAACAGAGAACATTTTTGAAAGGGAGAGTTGAAGAATGCAAAAAATTAGTAAAAGAAAAAGAGAACTGCAGTTTGTAACATTTAGCAAGCTACCTCACAAGCTCCGCTGCTTGGCAAGCTCAGATTAAGCTTCAGAAACTGTAAAGCCATGGAGATGAAATTGTTCTCTTCCATTTATACTTCTTGCTCAAGACCATTACAGAGTTTTTGTCGTATAGCTATTCTACAAATAACTACAGAACCTCCTTTAATGCAATCAATTGGATATCTCTCAGAAGCATCACAATCACTTCTTTAAAAGGATTTTTTTTAAATAACGAATAGAATGACACCAACCTAAAGAAAAAGCCACATTTGCTACTGTAATTATATTTGTAGCAATATAAAAATCTGATAATGTTATAACTTTCAGGTTAACAAAATTTACTGTACAAAACATATAAAAATTTAGTGTAGGGGCAAAAACTGACAATTGTCAAAGAATCATCCTGGGACCTAGTCAACATTACCAGCAGAAAAAATCTGTGATATCAGAGAAAGCTTAGGATGAGAAATGAGAAAATAAAAGAGCTTATAATGAAACTTTCCCCATTCTGTGTAGCTGGATGTGAAACAAAACAACACCTCTTAATCTTGTTTTGCCTTGGATCATTCAATATGCATTGCCTGTAATATATTTTGTGTGTTTGTGTTTAAGACTTCTTATATGGTCACAAAGGATTTACAGATATCCTTAATGTCTTCTTCAACCTAGAAATTATGTTACAGTTTTAGAAAATATAGAAGGATTGTATTTGTCCCAGGTTTGAAATTAACTGAGCCACTGCTGGGGGCAGAAAAGAAAAGGAAAAAAAAAAAAAGGTGAAAACTTCAAAGAGGAAAAAAACATTGCTGTTGAATAAAGAAATACAGGACTATAAAGTAAATACATACGTAAGCACTGAGGTACTTCACCACTCCATGTTCCATTTCCAATGCAAGTTAAAACAGCGGGAAAAGAGAGTTCATATCCCGGAGAGCAGACATAGCTAATGCTAAATCCCCAGTCCAAGTTTGTTCCTTCCAACCTTCCATTAGAGATCTGTGGAGGAGTTGGGCAGGTAACAGCTGCAATAATAGTCAAAATAATTAGGCCCAGCTGCTGTAAATATCCCTCGTGTACACAATTACTAGAAGAACCATATGTGCTAATTTCACCTTTTTTAGAGGACAATACAGTCAGGACATGCTATCTTCCTTCCTGTATTCTTGCCACATTTCCTGAATTTAACACTTCTGGTTTCCTCCATTTAGGAGACCGTGGCTGACTGATGAAGAGTCTTAAATAAAACAGGATGCTGCATCAAACCAAATAGGAAGACTACCTAAAAATCAGTGTGCAGACTATGAAGTGTACAACACTTAAGATATGTCTGGTAGTATACTATGAAATGATTTTGTTTGTCTGTTTAGACAAAATGGAGTACAATCTTAGTTACCACAGTAATAGTTAAATACTTTCTTCCTGTAAACCAGCTTAGGTATTTTCTAGATATTAATGCCCAGGGATGAAATTCCAGGATGATTGTTCCAAAATGTGACTTGAAAGCCTGTTTCTAAGTACCACAGTTTGGTTATTATTTGCTTCATGAATAGCTCCTCATCAAAAAGCATCTAGTTTCCAGCTAGAGGGAGAAAATGTAAGGATTTACAACCTCCTGAAATTGTCAGTGTTGCTACATCTAAGAAGGCCAAGAAGAAGCTATTTCAGTATAGTTTCTCATTTCCAGGCCTCCCAGGAAAAAATAGAAAGATCTTCTACTCAGTTGTAGGAAAGAGGACTGAAAAACACCACAGGAGGACAGTAGAAAGAAACAGACATAACTGTAGTGATGAAGACAAAAGTGTTATTTGCTGGATAATGGGGTAGTAACAGACAAATGCTAATTGAGACCTGAAAGAAAAAGGTTATAAAAAAAGTTAAATGAAAAAAAAATCTAAATCAAAAAAAAAAAGGAGGAAATTTAGGCTAAAGTTACTAGAATTAATGAGAAAGAGAAAAGGGGTAAAAAAGAGAAAAGTTAGGAGAAACTGCTAGCAAAAGAGAAAGAAAGTAAATGAAACTAGCATGAATTAATTTACTGGAGATAATCAGGGTAAATGAGAAGAGGTGACTAAAACTAAAGCAGAGAACACAGGTCACAAGAATGGAGGAAATCAAATGTTGCACTCATAACCTCTAAACTTACATTTAGACAGCTGCCAACTTGCAGTCTCAAAAGAATTCAGAGGCACTGAATCAGGAGTACTACATACTTGAATGTGATCTGCAGAAGGTTCACAATATACTATTTCTCTATTCTTATTATGCTCTTCAGTGAGAGAATCTCAAATATTTACACCACAAATATTCTCTGCAGAATCATTCACGTCTGAGAATTCTGGGTGAAAGTAGTACTATTACCAAATAATCCTTTGCCAACTTGTAAACCAAATCTGAGTTTTAAGGTGCTATTTTTTATACTTTCTGTTTCTAGTCCATAGTTTAAAGGAAATCACCAAACAATTAACCCAGAAAATGACATGATAGCTTTTGCCACACTTTCGTGACACTTTAATAAAAGTAAGTAAAAATAAGTACTCCAAGCAGCAAAAGTCTGTCCATATTCTCCAGCAGCTTCATGACTAGTTCTTTTAGAAAGATCTGTATGTTTTAGCTTCTGAGCTGAATAATAAAGGAGGAAATACAGGTCAATAATCTGGAGATGAGACAGAAGTAGTAGCATGAATATAGGTCTAATATCAGAATTTTGGGGTAAAAAAGGCAAGGCAAAACAAAACAACACTCATCAACAAGGCAGAATGACTCTTTAAATATTTTGGTCAGAGATTTAACCACAAATGTGTACAGCAACATTTCTCAGTTTAAGAGCTGAATATATATTACAAATTGAAATCTGCAGAAAAGACAATGCTTGAATAGTTGAATATTTACTTTCAGATGAACATGCATCCTTTTCGAACTAGACAAAGACAGAGATTATTTATATCTTCTATTTCAATGGCATGGCAAATTATGCAACCATTTTCTGCCCAGTTCATTTTCCAATTCTTTTAACTAAATGGTACCAGTGGACCCTGGTACTTCCTCCTGACAATAAGAACTAATCATTATACATTTCAAACACACTACTGCATATTATACATTACATTTAATTACACAGTCAAAGAAATGGGCGTTATTAACTTACCTAATGCACTCACACAAACCCGTGTGGAGTGGAACAAAATGCTGAGAACACTAAAGATTCTGCGTATGATTATTATTTAGTATTTATACACACCATAAATGACCTAAAACCAGAAAGACTCAAAAACTCAAAGTAAAATTGGCAGTCTCACTTTTTTTGTATATTTCTGTTTGCATCAAATCAGAGTTAGATCTCTAACAAATGAGGAAAATGAGCATTGCTGAGCAGGTATATAACCGTACTTCCTGAAAACAAAACAGAAGGAAGATGGATGTGAACAAAGTAAGTACAAACTCAGCCGACTAAGTTTAAAAAGAATAGAGATCAGATATAATTTGTGTTGACCCAGAAATAAAACACCAAAATGGTAATGCTGCTTCTCTACAGCTGTGGTATCAGGAAGAATGAGAAAAATGACTCTAGAAAGAAGATATTTTAGGATTTAGCAAGCAAGTTTCTCAGAAAAAATTGGTTTGATGACACAGATAAGGTGGTCTTTCAGTAATGTTCAGATTTTTTGCTATTTAAAATTCAATGGAGAGCATTAAAAAATTCTAATAAAACAGGAAAATCAGGAATGCAATCAGTAAAAGAGAAAAGGAAGATCTTGAGATTAATCCTTTCAGTTTTCCCAGTAGAGAAAACAACATGAAGCAGAAAAATATTTCTTAGGATATTTGTTAGGAAGATTTAGTCTTTTTGCTGAGTATGTTGATATAGCACAATGATGCTCAAGGTGCACGTCTAATGACAGAGGGATCAAGAAAGATCTTAGTATTATGGATAGGGTAATACAGAACAATTTTCCTATGACAAAGTTCAGTTGTATATATGCAGACCTTTCCCAAAGGTGTCTAGAATGTGCTTAAGCATTTTTTTTGTATAGCCAGGGACATACATAAGATCATTTTTGGTATGACATACTAACCTTAACAAACAAACAAAAAAATCTGAACCATTATTTCATACTGGTTAATTCAGTTTACCATCAAAGTAATAAAATGCTCTATAAAGCTGCAAAAAACTGTTCAATATACTGTGCTGGTATGAAAAATAAAAGGGGGAAAAAAGCAAAGGATGAAGTCACCATTTCTGCAGCCAAAAAAATCAATTCAATGTATTCATACTAACAGCAAGTTTTGATTTCTGTGGAAATATTTGGGTGACATTACAATAAACAGTGGATGTAAACGCCATAGAAGAAATAATTGACAGTCAAAATAAATGTTGTACCTTTGCATGTTGGGATTACTCCACTCCACGTGCCATTGCTAGTACAAGTGCGAATTAAGGAGCTATTTGATTCCATTGTATAACCAGGCTGGCACATATAAGTAACATTTTGTCCAACAACAAAATCATCACCATATCTCATGCCATTGGCCGGGACTCCTGGATCTCCACAGCTGATAACTGCAAATAAATAGTTGAGAAATAGATTTTAAAACCTGGCTGTGGTTTATTTATATGTGAGGGGAAAAACATAGGGCAAAACTGGGAATTTATTGGGGAAAAAAGGAGAAGGACAAAGTACCATAAATCTTATCTCCATCAAGAGAAGATAAACATATATGTCATCTGAATTAGTTGCCAAACACGGTATGTGGAGCTGTGTAACTTTTATATTTGGAGAACATCAATAACTCTGTTCAACAGCAGAAGCAATAGACTGTACAACTTTGAAAAGTAAAATGTCAAGATTATGAAAAGAAAAAAAAAGCAAGAAATAATCCATATCTCACTACCACCCTTTGATATTCTTAAATTTTCCTATCAGTTCAGTTTCATTATTAAAGAAGCAGATATCAAGTGTTTAGTTTAATTTTGCATGGGTACATCTTGAAAAGAAATGTGGTCTGGAAAATGTAAGATATATGTTTGTAAAAAGCTCCCACTTTGTAAATGCTCACATGGTTAATATGTATATAAACAGATGAGAATTTTCAAGCAACCCCCAAATATAGTACATGACTTATGCCGGAATTAGGCCTGTGGTACTTTAACGGGTGGGAGTGGTTATAAAACCTCTTGTGACTTCTAGTGTCAGGAGATAATTTAATCTCTTAGTGAGATTAAATATTCATAAGGAGTTAATAAAAAGTTATATTATTATAATCTGAGAATAATGTTAAAATAAGTAAGTTTCTCTCAGATCTGGTCAATTGGATCTAACAATTTCTAGAACAGTTTTCAGAGTAACAAATCTTGAGAACCTTAGTGGCAATGATAAAATGTTGTTGTTTTCAGAAAAAAAACAAACACCAGGGAAAAAATCTAGTTCATATAAAATATAGCACCCATGTGTTTTACAGTTTATCTTATAGTCAATTTGATAATCCCCCTACAGCATTCTTATTACTTCTGGAAAATTATGTGAGGAAGTTGCCTGGGCAGAAAGCAAATCTTGGCCACTTCTAACTCAATGCCAAATTGTGACCAATGTGAATGGCATCCTCTCTGTATCCTGGTTTCTGAAATGAGAAAACTCATAGCTAGATGTTTGTAGTGTATTCTGTCCAGGTCCCTTGACCTAAATAATCAGGGAAATGAGAATACAAGGTATATAGAATGCCTGCTCTACAGTTTATCAGTCTGAGTGAGCAGATACTAATTAATCTTCATGTATAAAATCTTTTAAAAAGAAGTCCCATGCAATCTCTGTCTATGGATACAGAAGAGATTATAAAACATACCACAGGGTTATCTAGGTTAGTCTAAAGGCAGCTAGTGGAGTGATAAAGAAAATGGGAAATAAGTCTGTTTTATTTTACCTAGTAGCATGGTAATGTTTTTCTTTTTTAAACTTAAAAAGTCATATATTTTTCTTTGTCATTTTTCAAAGAATAGAGAGCTGTGAAAGACATATCTGTTTGTCTAAGTTGCATGAGTATATTCAAATACTGTACATGGTCTACCTTTCTTCATTTCGTAGGAAGAAACAGACCACATCAGACTATCAATACATGGCTCCATGACTCGTGTCAAAACCACAGTTTCAGGTTTTCACCTTCTATGACCAGGTGACCCGCCTAGT